GAAAAAGAAAAATAGGAACACAGACCAGTGATAAGGAGAAAGAAACAAGGGAGACAGATGTTCTACCTCTGGGAGAGTTAGCCATGACACAAACAACAGTCTTGCCTCCTTATTTGAGGTCTTATCTGTAATTTTAGGTACACAGTACTCTGAGAAGTGCTGCAGCTTTCCAGAAGAATAAACACCAAAATGGATGAGCCTTCAGGACTGGCTCTGTCCTGCCACCCACCTCCCAGACCAGAACAGCCTGAGATGGACTGCAGAGGGCACTGCTCCAGTTGAAGGAGGGGCCCCATACCCTGCCATCACCTTTCCATAGGCGCACACCTCTGGTGACCCTGTCATCCTCACTCTGGCAATGACAGTGCTAGTATCTTGCTTCAGCTGAGTGTTCATGCTGTGGCAAGGGCAGAGCTACAGCTCCTTCCCACACACAGCTGGACTTCTAGAGCTGCCCTGTTGGGAGAGGATAGTGAGCAGTAGGCAAAGGCCAGCAGGGAGTGGGGCAGCACGGTGACCCACCCTGTGGACTGCTGTAGCCTACCATGTCCAAAGACCACATTCAGATGACTTGAGTTTATGTGGTAGTTTTGCAGCTGGACACCCCTGGAAGCACGGCTCCTAGAACTCTGCCCACAGGTACCGTTTCTGACACATGTCCATGGGTGTTTAGACCACGACAGATCTCAGTGAAGGAAGAAGAGCAAATGCTACTATTTTTACAGGAAAGCCAAGCAGGCCACATCAAGGATCTGACCTCAGGAGGAGGCAGCCTGGACTGAAATCTCGGCACCCAGCAGACAGAGCCCTATAGTAGAGTGGCTTCAAAGTCATTCTGAATGGAAAAAAAGTGGGAGATGGTTTCTGTGGGGGGAGGATAGGCAATCCAACTCAGTTCAATCACAGAATCCATCAGTGCAATTACTATTTCTAGGTAATTAGTACTCTTGGTGATGGTCTCAGCGGAAAAGAAAAGAAAGTAGTTGTGGGTGAGTTTCTTTGTTCTTTCACCTCAAAAACTAGCATCACGAGGCCAACACATGGAGGTGACATGACTCACAAGGCTGGAGGATGCAGGTCCCATGAGCCAACCAGACCCAAGCCTAGTATGGCCCTCATGACCTTACCCCCGTTCCTGAACACTGGTCTTTCCCTGCTCCCAAATGTTCAGGACTAGGAGACCGACTCGACAGAGAAGCTCAGTGTCTTCCCTCCTCACCTGCCCATTTCCAGGGAGGGTATTTTGGGCCCCATTTTCCTATTTGAGATAGATTCCTATTTAAGATAACACCTCAGATGAGCATGAGCATAGATCTATACACCCATGTTTCCATCTTTTTTAATTATATCAATGGTCTGTATTCATGATCAACTTGCAATAGTTCATAAAGGGATTTCTGTGAACTAAGATTTCATTCCCTAGTATTCTGCATGGGTCACTCTCATTACCAGAATCAGACAGGAGTCTGCATGGTCTCTTACCAGGGCATTGAAGTTGCCTAAAACACATGCACTGGACTTGCCAGACAATTCTCTGAGGGTAATCAGCTCTGCAGGCTCCTGCTGCAGGATTTCCAAGACCAGTCTCCCTGCAGATGCAGCCCCAGCATGGCACCAACAGCAGGCTACATCTCAGACCAGTTATCCTCAACAAGTATGGGCCTTGCACATGCAGAAGGCACACCTGCCCTCTGGGAAAGGCTAGGGAAGTACAGAAGAGTGCAAGGAATATATCTGAAAGTACCTCCCATTCCCATATAGAAGCACAGGCAGCAGCATATTTTTTCCTACTACAGTACTTTTTTATCATAGCATCTACTTATTTTTAAAACAAAATGACATCAATCATATGTTCTCTCAAAACAATGCAGTATATCTATATTTGTAGAAAATGCTCATAACAGCTTGTTTTTAACTTATTAATGTTTAATGACATTCAAAGAAATCTGTCTATGAAAATCAAACATCTACTACTTGAGATTACTTGGACTACTTTTATGCTTAGAAAAATGCTTATGCAACTCAAAGATCAGATTGATATTCACATAATTCATCTACAGTAAAAAGAAAACGTATTCTCTTAGGAATATAAAAGCAATGTGTGTTCAATGATGGAAATGTAGAAAATTCAGAAATGTGTGAAACCATGCACATACCCTCCACACTCATGTGCCGCAAGTACATGCACATGCACACTACATACACACACAGACACACACACACACCTACATCTTATGTCACACTGAGTGGTTTCACATGCACTACTGACTTATGTGCCAGTGTACACATTTTTCCATGTCATGAATCATCCCTATAAACACTAATTACTGCCTAATACCCAATTGTGGTGTGGAAGTACAATAACTGATTTACTAAATCCTCTATTACTGGGCATTTGGGCTATTTCAAGTTGTTGATTATTTAAATCAATGCCATAATGAATATCCTCAGTACATAAATTTAGTGCTTATCTGATTCTCTCCTGAAGGTAAATTTGTAAGAATAGAATTTTCAGCGAAAGTCCATGAATATTTTTGAAGCTCCTCCATACACATGGATAAAAGAACCCTCCAGACACCTGTTGCCTACAGCCACTCTCTGAGACATGAGATAATACCCTCAATGTCTGTGACTCTTGGCCAAAACTATATTATAAACCTTCTCAAAACATAGGGGGCTGGCCCAAGAGCAGCACACATGTGCTTGCTTCCCCTGTGTGTGTGAGGACTGGCTTCTCTCACTGCCTGCCAGCATCCATACTCTCTCTCTGTGCAATTCCCCCTTAATCCCCGACAGTGATAATGAAACACATGAAGAATACAGAAAGAAAGAGGCATCATTAATTTCTGATCAAAGTTTAAACAAATTTAACTAAGTACATTTTAGAGAAGAAGCAATTGTAGAGTTTTCTTTATATTACAATACTTTTTAAATGACCCTAATGATAATAGAACTAAAGTGTGGGCAGGAGTGGAAATCACCGTGAACTCAGTGTATGAAAGTTTGTTTCTAGTTCTTCCACCATAAGCAGTCTCCACAAATATTCATAGACATCCATGGAGCCAAGAGTTTAGATACTAATACTACCCTCCACAGGAAAAATCCATTTGCCCAATACCTGTTTCCACAACTGGAGACAGGAAGAAATCACAGGTCCTAAAACATAGTGTTTTGGCCAGAAAACAAGAAGCTTCCAAACACGGGACAGTAACCCTGGATAGCACCAAGTGGCAACTCATGGGGGCTACAGCCAAGCTGTAGCCATCTTGGCACTCAACAAAGTAACTGTCTTCCTAATTCAGGCTGAACTCAAAGCCCAATCATTCCAGGCTGTGAAACTAGCTATCATCTTTCCAACTACGGTAACTGGTATGACACATGCAGCCCACTTCCTACTGGTCTGGGGTGCAACCATGGAGCCACAGCAGGTTGTCCGTGCACTCCAGGTAGGAGAAGCATCCACCAAGAACACTGTAAGGTGGTAACAAGGGAAAATATCTCTCAAAGGTCTAAATATAACAATAAATTTTGTGATCACTGCATTTCGCATGTGTCTACTGCCAATCAATTTAAAAAATAATTTACCAATGGTACTAACATTGTTTTTAATTGATTAATATATATTTAACATATTGAGCTCTAAATAAAACACAGCAATGAGTGTTCTCCCAGGATAAAAGCCTTGCCATGTTCCCATCACTTGATTGTCTTCAGATCACTCTAGAGATGCCATGGGTACTGCTCACTTGACTGTTATATATGGCTACTTTCTCCTGCTGGCTTGAGGATTTAGCAGGTAGTAATCCTGTCCTATAAGGCTCTGAAATCTGCTGGCTTCTAGTTTACAGATGTGGTCATGATTGAAAAAGCTGCACAGAAAATGTCCACCTGTGTCTTCTCCTTTTAGATCACAGTTTCCTTGCCCTCAGGGTCTTCTCTTACGAATGGATGTCCCCTCTGCCCACCCAGGAACGCTTGCTGCAGACACCCAGAAGCTGTCACCCACATGCATGGTGGCGCCCACTCCTCAACAGCTTCAGCCGCACAACATCCTCCTGGGGCAACAGCGGCCTTGTTACAGGGCAAGGACTGGGAACAGCAAAGACAATTCAGGAGCCCAGCTGGTTCCTAATCCCTCTGGCTCCTCTGGGCATGGGCAGCACAAGGCAAAATTTCACATACCAGTCCCCTTTTAGAAGCCAGCTCTAGACTCTGCTTGGCTCCTGATAATAATCTTTGCACGAGCACCACACTGTTTTAATTTCCTCAGTTTTCTAGAATGTCTTGACATCAGATGGAATTTGCAGCCTTGGCACTGCTGTTCTTTTCCAAAATTTGCTGGATACCCTTAAGCAACCAATTTCCTTATGACATTCAGAAACTATTAATCAATTTCATTAAAATTCCTTATGGTAGGCTGGGTTTAGCTCAGTGGTGCTGCTGACTGCACAAGGTCCTGAGTTCAATCCCTGGTACCAAAAAAAAAAAAAAAAAAAAAAAAAAAAAAAAA